TGGATTAATTACTTGAATAATATTTTCTTGATCTTGACTTGATGCAGTATCAGCTTTTAGAAGCTCTTTCTTTTGCTGAATAAATTGATGACATTAATCATTTACTTCCTTATCAGTTTTCATCTTCATCACTAATATTAGAACGGTTTGCAACAATCCATAACTTTTATCATAACATATTCGATCTTGTAGGAATTTTTTATTGGGTTTTTTAAATCCTGAAGCCTTATGTATAGAGGTAAGTTGATCAAATTGGTTGAATAATATATTTTGATTAGATTGAATTGGTGTAACAGATCTATTAGGATTATTATTATGTGGTCGAATTGGTAAAATATTATTGAAAGTGTCTTCTGGTTTATTAAAATATGCATCTTTATACCATCATTGCATTATAGATGAGATATGGAAAATAGCTACATTTGATTCTAAAAGAACAGCAAAGTAATGCTGACATACAATTCTATGACTAACTGGCCAAGTACATGTACATAAAAATGAACTATCTTTAAATATAATAATATAGTGTATATTTGCAGAACCCATAAGTCTAACTACACGCCAAGCTTCTTGAATTTTATCGTCTGATACATTGTTTAGCATAGAGTTAATATGTATTTGTTACGAGTTATAATTGTCTTCAATATATTTGTCAGTAAGTTCAGGTTCATTGTTATAATGTTTTTGTAAAATATTATATGAATAATACCTATACCAAAGTGCTTGTTGAATTTGTTGCTTTATTTCAGCAATTATATGAGGAGTAAGGTATTTTTCACACATTACAATAATTTCAGAAAATAATGTTCTACTTATTGATTGTAAGTTGCCATTATGATCAAAGTTTATAGTCTCTTGAGAATGACTATACTTATTTTTCAAATCAAGATGCTCCTGAATTGCATTATTTAGTTTAATCAAAGATAATGTTTGGTTAATACTAGACTTAATAAGATTATTGTAGCATTCTATATGTTGTGTACTCTGAATTCCAGTATTAAAAACTTGTGTTGTAAAACAACAGGCCCAACTTTGCTTTGATTGGTAAAGTTTATATAAATAACTTTCTATAGCTGGATAAGTTTTAATTAAATGTTCATATTGGCATTCAAATACAGCTTCTTGTAATGAATTTTGTGCAATATAAAAGTTATTCATAAACTGATTATATTGTTCACCAAGTTTTGACTGTGCTTTTTTTTTTACATTATTATTAATATGAAATACACAAAGATGGTGATAAGTTGTTGTAAATGTCTTAGCAATCGCCGCAGTTATTGCAGGATCAGAATCTAAAAAATAACACCAGGCTCATATTCTGGATTTCCTTTTTTGAGACATGTAAGGAGCCAATTAAAAGAGTCCATAGATTCATCTGGCAATAGTGCCTAAGCAATCAATCTACTTCTAATGTTATTATCAACCACAATCACCAAAACTTATGATCAGCGATATCGATTAGTCTTGCAAGTTGTATCCAATAAACAAATATCACCAAACCTTGTTAATAACTGTACTTGTTCGTCTGACTGCCAAAAAATCCCTTTAAGTTCACTATTCATGTCTCCAATTACAGGTTTAACTACACAACCAGGGTCTATTTTTTTTTGTTGTAAAAGATTACTTAGTAAATCAGCAGCATCATTTTTAAGCCTTTTATGTATATCTCTTAATTGGCTTATTATATTATAGATATTTTGTGGTTTAATAGGGTGATCGGGATATTCATTTTTGAGTAAGTTAATTATCTTATTAGGTTGAATATGACATTGATAATACAACTTAACTTTATTGAGCATTTTATTGTTTAACCTGTAATATTTTGGGGCATTACTTTTAATATTATCATCCATAGGATGGTTGTGAATAGAATCATTGTTTAGTAAAGAACAATGTATTGTTGTTGCTTTATTACCCATTGAAAAATTACAATGCCATTTGCAATTTGTAACATTTGTATCATGGTTATGTTGATTATCAGGATCAATTATTTTTTTAGGTTTCCATTATCCAGATAAATGACATACCCAGGTAGTGTTTCATACTGTTCCATCATCACATATACACATATGTCCCTTCCTAATAGCAAACTCACATTCCATCGCATACCTTTCAAGTTTTTTCTCAGCTTTTTCAAACGTATCAAAACGATCATTAACATGTAAATTAAATAAATATCTATGACTATCATAACTATTAACATCATTATTGCTATCACTTTCACTAAAATTAGATAACTTAAGCAAAGTGAATTGTTCAATATAAAGTTTCAGATGGAAAGTATCAAGATGGTTAAAGGTAGATTCAGAAAAGGTTGGTGTGGTTTGTAAATCAATGGAAGATTTATTTTTATAGGCATGTGAAAAGTTTAATTCAGAATATTCCTGTAATAAATTATAAACTTTAACTTGCGTTCTTTAAATAATATAACATTTAGTTAGTATGAGTTCTTCAAGATACTTGATATAAATAGCAAAAGCTGATCTCAGCTTTTGCTACTTATATCAAGTATCTTGAAGAACTCACATTAGTTAATTATAGTATAATATATTTAATAGTCCTTTTAACTGACCTGAGACAGTTTTAAAGTGTTGTTTCTGAAAGTATTTCTTAATGTACTTGAATCACTATATTTATTGGTAACCTGACAGGTCTAAAATATTTAATAATGATACAACAGTTTTGTTACTAATATAACTATTTAACTAACCTGAAGCGGACTTATATTAAAATTTAAAGAAGCCATAGTAGTGTTTTTATAAAGAGCTTCTGATAATGTTTTTGCTTCTTCTGAACCAAGTTTGTATGCTCCAACACTTCTGGACAAATAAACATCATTCATTAAAAAACCAGGTGGTTCATTAAATTCATTATGGGCTTTTAATAATATAAGATAAGTTGAGTATATACAATACATTACTTTCTATATAAAAATCAAATAACATAGCATCTAGAAAAAAAAACTCCCAAATAATCTGAGATGGAGACAGGTATAAATTAGGGTTCAAAAAAGTTAGGGCAATATTTTTATAAAGTGCCTCTGATAACATTTTTTCTCTCTTTAAACCAAGTTCATTAGTTTCAAAGGAATGGTGGGTCTTAAATAATATTAGATTAGACAATATTAGTAACATTGACATATTGAAACAACTTTGACTAGCCTTTCAACTAACCTTTGGTTGTCTTAAAACTACATTTCTGAGAGAACCAAACAACAAACATAACTTTGAACAGCGACATATTAGTATTAAAAACCTTTAATTAATAGCTTTATACAACATTCAATAATGCTTTACTGTAATACTTCACTTTTGTCAAAAGCCATAGTGATAGTAATAAGAGAATATCTCGTATTACTTTAAACAATTTTAATAGTAGTAGTACATAACTTATCACATGACAGATGAAATTAGATGGTTAATTTTATTTTTCAAAACCACTAGTTAGAATTAGCCATTTACTATTAATGGTTAAGTCTAACTACTAGAGCAAGTTATAATTATCCTTATAATTATAATAATAATAAACTTATAACCTATACTATTATATAAATAGAGCTTTAACTTACATACTTTTTTCTTATACTGTATTGCATATTAAAAAGATCGATAAGTATATTTTATAATTATGATAATAAGAACATTGATCAGATAATTAGTATAACATTGATCAGATAATTAGTATAACATTGATTATGATAATTTAAATAATTTAAAAGGCAATTACTTTTAAAGAAGTTTTTACAAGTAATTATCTTGAATTGAATCAGGTTAAATAAAAAAAAAAAATTTGGCCAATGAATAATAAGTTTTATATCTATAGAATTAGAAGAAGTTATATCAAACATCTTATATAATAATTATAGTAATGCCTATGATAATGACTATGATAATAACTATGGCAATAGTCATGATAATGCTTATAATAATGATTATGATAATAACTATGGCAATAGCTATGATAATAACTATAGTAATAATTATAATAATAACACTGATGATAATTGTAGTACAATTAGCAAGCAAAGTAATAAAAATAAAACGTAGAATGTTTTTAGAAAGGTTGTATAGCAAAAGGAAAAAAAAAGCAGCTAAATATACATATTAAAGTGTCAACATAATGAGTTTTTTTGTGAAAAGGAAGGCACCACTAGGCCACTATAGTACTACTTAAAAAGTGCATACTGGACTCAATATATCATGACAGAAGAATTTAATAAAAAAAAAAAAAGATATAAAGTGAATGTAGTACTGTTGAGGATATGTTTAGAAAGGTTAGCTTTAGAGTTCTGAAGTGCCAAGCACAATACTATTAAAATATAATGCCTGCTATAGGCATTATGTTTTAATAATATTATACTTGGCATTTCAAAACCCTAATTAGTTTTTTTTTTTTTTTTTTTTTATTGAATTATTATTATTAATTTTAAGTTAATCTAATTTGAAAAATATTATATAGAATCCTAAAGACCTAATATTGGTTGATACTGATAATATAAAGCTTTATGATATATTTTTTACCTGGATTATTAATTATCAATACCCATTTAATATACTATAATTAAAAATCCTAAATTAATTGAAATTATAAAATATTTGAATCTCATAGCATAGTTAGTTAAAGCTAATACAATTAAAGAAGCAATAATGTTACTTTATGATTTAGAAAAAAAGAAATTAAAGTAAGCTTACAATTATTTTTTTTTTATTTAATTTTTTTTTATTTTATTTTTATTTTATTTTTATTTTTTAATTTATTTTAATTTAATCTTGAAAACCTAAAGTGCTATAATGTACAGTCTTTTTTCTTTATAATTATGCTATCTGTTTTATATAAAAAAGATGTGATTATAAAATTTTAATAACAATGTGATTATATAAAGTTTTTTTAATAAATATATTACTAATAATTTTTCAAAAAATAGTGCTTATAAGAAGAGCTTGATTATGTAGAAAGTGACTATATAGAAGAACAACTATTTAATTAAAAAACTTATTATATAAGTTTATATATTCAATTAATATATTTTTTTTTACAAATTTATCAAATTATTTTTAAATTATTTATTTATTGTTATTTTTTATTTATTTATTTAAATTATTTATTTATTAATTTGAGTTATTTATTTAAAATGATTTATTTATTATTTTTATTTGATTAAAGCTATTTTATTTTATTTATATTTTATATAAATATATTTATTATTCACTAATACTTACAGTATTATAGATATATCTTTCTGCTATAAATTCTAGAATTTTTTTACATCAGACCTTTGGATATCTCTTAACAACAAGACCTTTATTTTTGCTACAGCTCATTATATAAATGACAATTAAACCCTTCAAGAAATATTAATTGACTTTGGGTTATTAAGTAAAAATTATAATAGAATGAATATTTCTAATAGATTTTTTAAAGTATTAAAAGATTATAAAATTATATCAAAAATATTTATATAAATTTAGCTTTATCTAAACTTAGCATAAAATGAATTTACTTTATACTAGCTTAGCATAAAGCCAAATTTATTTAATATTAAGTTTAATATAAAATGAATTTGGCTTTATACTAAAATTAGCATAAAACCAAATTTATATTAT